TTCGCCAGCCGTAAGATCATACATTTTCGACTTGCCTCACACTACGTGTCCCCAAACAAACGTAATTTTATTATTGTGTCACTTTTATTTTAAACGGACCTAGAAATTGCGTAAATAGTGACACTTGAGAAAATGTACTAGGCAAATTATATAGATATTGTTCGTGGCGTGTATAGATAGTAACAAAACTACAAAAAACGAATTCAAACAAGTCCCAGAATTCCTCCTGCCTTGAATTTCTGCTTCTTTCTTCCTTTTTCTTTCATCTGTTTTCAGAGATTTCAGGTTGCTAATCACCCTGCATAAACACACAAGATGGAATGCCTGTTCCAAGAAATTGCACTCATATACATAGAATATTCCTTTTTTTGCGTACTTATTTTTCGCGTTTAACGCTGAGAACATGTTTTCGAAAAAAGAAAAAAAAGTAAAACGTGCACATTGCTTTATAATGTATCATAAAACACTATTGTGTAGCAAACTTAAAATATAACTTAATACAATAAAGCTAGCTCAATGAGGGCGGGGATCTCAAGGGAGCAGTTTTATTATTATTTTTTTCTTCGTATTAGACCAGATTATGCAATGTAATACTTCAGAATATGTTTGGAAGGACCGCGATTTATGTTCACATTAGACAGATTTCCCCCTTATACGCGTTTCGCATTGAGCAAGTTTTACTGGATTTCCAAGATCTAATACCTGACTTCTCGATCAAAAAAGAGGAAAGAAAGCCTATCGATTCCTGGGAAATCTTCAGAAACTGACATTCTTAATCAGTGTTGGAACGGAGGAAGATGAATAAAAGACTACACATTTATTCTTTAAAGAAACCCACATTTCTCAAGTCTTTACCGCTATTTTCTGAAGAAAGAAGAGAACTTGAACGGTTAAGTAAATCGGGCGGTAAAATCGAACACTTACACTGTCGATACACCATCTTCACAATACGAAGGAGCATCGTGTATAACTCCTTGAGGGGGAAATTCTAAATTAGTTATCAATAAAAATTAACTTATTACCAACTATTAAATGTTTCATGACAAGGTGATTCATCTAATAGCAAATTAGAAGAATTATTTCTCGTTCATTTTTCTTTCCTGGGTGAGTCATTTCAAGAGATTACATTAACATTAACAGGAGTCAAGTACACAATGTGGTAGTCCAAGAAGGCAGCGAAATGAAATGTGTATGCATTACTATGACCTCAATTCTTTCTACATAAATAGATCAGTGTACGCCTTTCAAATGAACCTTTTTTCCTTTTGCCAGTCAGTGAATTCCGAAAATAACTTGTCAAGTCTTTAAATCACGACATGAGCTGATGTTGATGGAGTTAACGTTGATTTATTGTCGAATTTTACGGTACAGTACGGCTAGTACAGTGGATCGAATTTTACTTATTGGCAGTTTTATTACTGTTGGAAGACGGGGTTTTTATTATCTCAATCCGCATTTTCTCCATTATGTTCACTTGTTATAATATTTCACTCATTGTCTTTTTATGCGCCTTTCAAGTTAAACAGAGATTTGACTTCCCATAATGAATGTACATGGTATTTTTGTATTTTGAGAGAAAATGCAAATGTAGTAAATTGATTGATTCGTGATTTCCGTCGCGTCAACTGCTACGATCATTAGTCTCGTAAGAGTTCTGCATGTTTTTATCACGGGGTGACGGTGATCTTCCGCAGCTGGATGGCGAGATCCAGCTCCGACCTACTCGTCAGCTTGCGGAGTTTTTCCCCAAACACGTATCCCCTCCCCCCCGCTAATGGGGCCCAGTCCCAGCCGGGACACGCTCTAAACTCCCGGCTGGTCGCCCGTCATGTATGGTAGTCTAGTGCGTGCAATTAAAAGTGTAAGTAAGGGGTGGGGATAGGACAAGAACAAGGAAGGAAATATCGCGTACCTCCCGAGGCCCATTTGATAGGATACTACTCCGGCATTTGCCTGGTGTTGATCGGAGAAACCTCGGAAAAACTAGCGATCAGAGCAGCCGGCCGCTATAATTCTCCTCCAGGCAGCAGCTGGATTCCACCTAGCTAGCTGGCTAGTGTACAAAATTCTGCCACCGTCGGCACTCGATCCCCTGGACCTTCGGGTCAGAGGCATTGCAGTGAAATCGAGTGATGCCCAGAGCCACCTCAGCCGGTGCGAGGGCAGTGATGACGTCAAAAGTCCGGAATGTTTCCGGTCGCAGTATTCTTCTTCCAAACGACAAACAGAGCCGCGGATGCTTATCCGCCGTATTTTTGCTTTAAAGAAATGTTGCACTGATAACATTTCTTTAAAGCAAATTATATCTAGCCGGTCTATTTATAACCAGTATCAGCTCCATTTATGTTTAGTATTATCTCCCTCCAATGTCCACATCAATTGTATTTTAATTCTGTTCTAAATGGATGCTAAAAGATTGTACTTTCATAACTCACGAAAATCGCCCTACTCAGTTGTCATGATATCAGAGTGGTTGCAAAAAAACGCTTATATAACATCTGAAAGAATTAAATTAATTAAACAACACAAGCAGAAGTATTCTCCGCTGAAACTTGTTTACATGCAAAATTAATGGAAAAGTTGCTGGATTTTTTTTTCTTGACATCTTTGTTTTAAAAAACCTATTGCAGTCCTAGGACAGGCTTTAAATTATTGCCGTTACACAAAAAGGAAAAAAAAACTCATTTCTTTCGTATTATGTTTATGCATATGCTACTAAACATGATATGTAATTAAAACTTAATTGTTTAGATACAAATTATGTTGCTTCTAACCGACGCTTCAACTATCGCCGCCTTTTCAACATATGGCACCTTCTTTCCAATGAAGTTAAACTGGATTTTTTCATTCATTCCTTTCACAAATGATTCAAACAACGCGATACCACAAGAATTCAAACCATCTTTGGAGCGACACAAGGGAGGAATTGTCTGTCCTGCAATCTTTAAAAAAACCGATGAGAATCGTTTTGTGAAATGTGGGAAAAGCATCTTATCTCTTCTTACAAAACTATAATAGTACTTTTCGCGTTTTTCACTAAGGAATTCGAAGAACCATCGGATACCACGCGCTCATTCTGTTTTTCATAATTGAAAACTGCAGAGTGGAGCGTGGTTGTCCAATTTGCAAAAGCAATCAATAGATAAAACAAGTCAAATCAAATGAAAGAGATGGAGAAATTTCTGAGTTATGCAAAGTATTTACTCTCATGTGATTTAACGATAACGTGAACTGCAGCAGCATTATGGTATTCACGATGTTCATTCCATTCTTGACTGTCAACAAAACTCACATCGTGCAATGCACGCACTGCGTCTGGAATTAAATAATGTGACATGTAGGACGGTTCATAGCTCAGCAATTGCCCGCAATTACGTGTCGTTACAAGAAGTACGTGACCCCGGGTCGCAGTAACAGCATTTAATCGTTCTATCACGCTCCACTCGCAAACGCATTGAAAAGTGAAAGGTCATGAACCTCTCTTGACTTCTCCGGGAAGGATGTAAACGAGATATTGCACGCAGAAGCTGTCAGCTTGTACACATCGTAAACTTGGCAGCCCCGACGGGAGCGTACTACGACGAGAGATAAACAAGCTTTCGGTTACATCAACGGCTCGTTTGAAGTGGTCAAGAGGGGGGCCGAACAGATCACAATGGACTTTGGAACCCGCATCTACCCGCCTCGGCGTGAAAGGGTTCTATTTGCGACGGGCAGTTGTTCTCCAGTTAATAGAATGAATGTCCATTGTTAGGATAATTGCGGGCTCAGGACGCGATAATGTAGGAGAATAAGATCGTAGCAGCCCAATGGTTTTAAGGAGGCAAAGACTAGAAAAAGGAGTCCGGACAGGAAATTGTTAGTGACATTAGCGGGTTTTAATAGCAATGTCATATGAATACGATGACACAGTGATTATTAATCTTCGGAAACACGTATTTGGGTCACGTTATCAAACAAATGTTTCGATGCTCCTTGAAACGGTAGCTCTATTTAATCGCATGTATATCATGGACCTACAAAAAAATAATAATTATAAAAAACAAAACAAATAATGCAAAATTAATCTTCAAATCTTCTTACTGTTACCAACCACTTTTCAATCCAATTATATCGAACGACACATTTATTAATACAACATAAAATGAAAGTTGATGGTTTTTTGAGATAATATCTAAAGTTCGCAGGTAATCCCGAGATAATTTGTCAAACTGTCGATTGAAACTCCTGCATCAACCATTATCTCTCCACTGAGCGACATGACCACGATAAAGGAGTGATAACGAAGATGCTCTAGGAACAAAGTAATTCCAAACACTGGTCAGATAAGGCGCCCTAAATGCTGTTCTCCGAACATTCTCCTACTTAGAGCCTAACTCGAACGCATCCGTTCGCCAAATATAACACACCAATGGCAACGCATCCCGCTGCACATTCACAGGGGCCATTCTACCTCACGAAAGAGGCACGCGTTGTACGATTTTCTCGCCCGAGCATCGAATGGTGAGGCGGGAATGCTCCTCTCCCATCAGGCTAACCGTGACCTCCCAATTGATAGCAATGCCACGCGACTCAAGTGCCTTGACTCTTGTTCAGCGGGTTGCTGTCAACATGCAACATGCAACGGGCCTGACTTACGAGAGAGATGGTCCGATATGTCACCTTTTATTATTGCTGTCAGCTCTGAAAATGGTCCCGACTGGGTGTAAGCGATGTTTGATAAGAGCCTAAAAATTATTCATTCGTCTGTACTCTTTGGTTGAATATTTTCTTTACGATAGTACGATGTCATTTAAGGAATAATTCAGAAGCGGAAGGAAAAAAACTCACTAAAATGCGCATTCAGATGCATTGTCGAATCAATACCCTCTGAAGTACTAGGGAAAAAAAAAAAAAAAAAAAAAAAAAAAAAAAAAAAAAAAAAAAAAAAAAAAAAAAAAAAAAAAGGAATTGTACAATAATTATGACGTACTGATTCGTTTATCCGAAAATCAGATTCTCAAAACCTTCATGTATGTATAAATAAAACAAAACTAATGATTTATTCTTTCACTAAATGTTTCATAAAACCAAACAGTATCGCAGATTTCTAGTCAATGATCCATACATTCGTTCCATAAAATCTCTTATCAGAGCTTCCTAATAGTAATCCCAACACCCATAAAAACACTTACGCGGATAGACTACAAAGAACGAGAAGGGATTCCCAACCAGGCACACATTTTTCGTACGACTCAAAACTTCCCCACACCCCGCGGATCCCGGAGAATCAGCTGGCGTCGTGGCAGCGTAGCGGCTCCTTTGGGCGACGGGCGTTCTTCTGCCAGCACTCACCTCGAAAGTGGAAATGCTCGAAGTCGTGGCTCACGCAGCACGCGTTCGTATAGCTCACGCGTTTCTGCCAGAAATCCATGGCACGGCGGCGGCGGCGGCGGAAGGCAGAGTCGCTGATGTCATCCCACGAGCGGGGACGCCTCCGTCGGTCCCGAGGCGCGGCGAAGGCACGTGCAGCGAGCGCAGGGGAGCGGAAAAGACGCGGCCGGAGATGTCAAACGACTCACGCGCTCGCTCCCACATTCACACTCGCACGAGTACAACACGGGGGGCGGGGGACTCGCGATCCCTCAACCTGAGACTTGCCAGCTCCGGGGGTTCCAACCCCCCTGGTGTGGGCGGGATTTAAACTCCGGACTCACTGAATCACAAAGGACGTTGCACATTGGTATAATCACAGCCACAAACTCAACACTAACACTGACACTCCACTACTATATTCCGATGATCAACTAAAACAGAAACACGCACTGACACACATACACGCGAGCGTTCTTAGAACAGAGGACGCTCTTTTAAGAAACAGCACCTGCATACGTAACGCGAACGAAACCACGACGTAAATAAAGGAAACCGGCAGCAAATCTCACTCGGCCGCGCACCCACATGGAACGTCCGCGCGCGCGTACACGCGTGTCACGCATGGAGGCTTTCGGACAGAGCTCGCTTCCGGCGGCGCGCCGCAGCGGCCCAGAAGACCGGCGGCGGCGGCTGTCCGCGAAGGACGAGGAGG